AATCATGGAAAAAGTTTCAAAAGATCCTGGTCCACGCTAACTCAGTAACATGTAACAGTTCCCAAAAACACTGTCATGTTTGTAGAGCCATGGACAGCGGTTTTCCCAGTCAATATTCTAGTTTTGGTGATCCTATGCTCACTATTGGCTAATATTTCTAGCTGACAGTAATTCAGGCTGGTCTTCTGCTGCTGTAGCTGATCTGCATATGGGTTTTCCGCGTTCAGATATATCCATCATAGCTGCAGTGATGTGCAGTCGGAATATCTGAGAATTTAATTTGCTGAACTTCAAAGAATCTACCCATTCTTCTCTCACTCTCTAACTGTACATTGCTGGTAAAATGCATGAAAAGTATCATTAATGTAATAACAAAAAAACACACGGAGAGTAAAAATCTGATATAAATAAGAGACTAGGTGCTAATCTCATAAGCACTCACATAAGTGCTTCAACCAACCATTAATACACAAAAAAATCAGACTGCACACTATAACCACTGCAAAGTCTATTTGACTAATAAATAAAACATACAATATACCAAACATATGGACAAAAACAAGGCAAGACACTTTATGCCAAGGTAATTACCACAATTCCACAAGCCTAATTGGACATAACACGAGCCACCAAAACCCACCTAGTACCATTAATGTGTCATGTCCCCAGACAAGACTCTACTTGACCAACAATAAACTGGATTGTACAAGCTAAGGCCTCGATTTATATTGGCTTTCTGAGTGATTCAATACTGTTGGAAATTACCAATAACGTCTATAGGATTTTTTTGTAGATAAATAATTTTAAAAGTTTGCCAAGCAGCATTTGAAAAACGTATTAAATCGAGGCCTAAGTTCTCAATTTACTTAATTAATGTATTCTCTAGTACACAAAAAGCAAGCACTGTGTGCAATAGAAATATACCTACTTAAAAAAAAAAGAAACTAACTATTTATACAGGTGTACTCATTCACACGTGAATTGAAATACATTTAAATTTAATTTAAAGTGAATAAAAAAGTGTATGCCAAAATAATCAAACTCATAGCTTAGCTCATTCATAATTTTTCCAATTTGTCCATTTAGGCCAAAATTTTGATTTCTGTTGAAATTAGAAAAAAAATCCCTCGGGCACCCAAGCACTCACTCCCGAAGGCACCCAAACATGCAGCTGCCACTGTGCAACAAACTATCCTCCCAATCTTGTCATTTAAGTCATCTAGAATAAAAGTTCTAATTGGTAGACTACACAGCAAGCCCTATATGTTGTCTTTAGCACACAATCTGCTATACGTCGGATAATATATGGCCTGAAATCACAGCTATGCAGTGAACATAGAGGGAAAGGCACATTTAGCTTATCCTAATGACTGTAATTGCAATTTGCTGTATGACCATAAATAGTTTGGCAATGGCTGCAGACACATCTAACGGTTGTGGTAGATACCGTCAGTACAAGCAATGTTGTACACTCTGTAGGACGTTAAATCAATGCCATTAAAGTGTATGCAACTTGATCTTCATTCTTCAAGGTGATGTGAAAGTGCTGCCATTTTTACAAACGATGAGTCCCAATATAATCTGTTCTTAATGGATAGAAAATTAAAAAAAAATATTCCAAGGCTGGAAAATGATTGTGAAGAATACTTTTGTTCAGTATTAAATTTATTTATTTTTTTTATTTATTTTTTTGTAAATGTATCTTTATTTGCGGTATAAAGAAATTACACATTAAAATATGCGGATAAGGTAAAACATCCGATAATGGTGGCATCATATAAACGTGAAACAACAACAGATTTTTTAACACAAGTAAAGCAAGCTTAAAATAAAATAAAAATAACTCTGAACCGAATAAAGTATAGAATGCTTAAACCACAGGTGGTCTGCTGATTTCAGATAACGGGGACAACCAAAGCAAAAGGAGCCTAATAGTAGGCAAGCATGCTTCGAGAACTGAGCAGTCAGCCTACGTCCAGACTAGGGAATGGCAGGAAGAGAAGCTCACCAAGACCACGCCGGAGATCGCAGAGACTATCATTCCAACCCCAGGCCTGTAAGAAAGTCAACACCTGAACACCACTGATATAAATTGCGCCTACGTCCTTTCCCATGGAGAGACTGAGCAGAAACCTAGGTTGTCTACTTCAATGTCTTATTGTGTCTCAAATGGCCCACCGCAGGTTTGGACATGTAATCGGGACATTAGACCCCAAATGGCTCTACACCTAGGAAGGTAGTACAGATACCAGGTGTGAAAGCAGTACAGATACCAGGTGTGAGTACTGGAAGGCCCATTATTTATCTGTGGTGGGATGGTAAATATCGGCTGTGTTGTGTAGCGATTGTTGACTCGACTGAACGGAAAACTTCTCACAGAGTCAGTCGACTTGTAGCAGCGTGTTGTCAAAGTACAGGCATCCGCAAACAGCTCAGACAGAAATAGTTTTCAAGTCATAATTGTAATACTTTAAAAAAAATTTTGGGTGAAAAAGTAGCAATCAATTATGTTACAAAATGAAACATAATCGTATATGGACATAGGCACACAGACACCAAGTGAAGTGCAATAAAGCGTAAACAAATAAACTCCTGGACAAAGAAAGCTGGCTCATACAGAATATACACAATTATATGTAAAAAAGAGATACAACTTGAGTAACACTTCATTAAAGTGATTCTGGCAGTGTGGCCTAAAAACTCACCACTTAGCCATCTTGTTAAACACAATTGTGTGTCTCTGTGGAATTAAACAATCTGCCACCTGAACTAGCGACCACTAAAGCAGTGGGGACCGGGATAACTCCTGCCGGTCTAGATGGGGGACAGGGTAATATAAAACTACACACCCATTCGATTCCAAAGCAAGGGATCAGTCGCTTTCGTCACCAAAGCTACAGTTGGCCCAGATGGAGCAACCTCAGGTTCAGCGTTGGAGATAAATCTTCCACCCAGTAGAGAATGGCTTTAGACGTTTTCAACGGCAATTTGTGCTGGTGAAAGGCAAAAACAAGTTAAATATCCGCCGGTTTCAGAAAATTTTGGAGGAGATCTCTCGCTGTGTGACTGACCTGCATAACAGTCTGGTCCCACTCCCAACTTTATATTGTTAAACCTTGTATGTTTACTCCATAAAATTCAATGAGAGTAGATAAATATGTTCTTATGTCAAGTAGGAGAATTACTATATGTTAAGTTGAGAAGCGTTGTGAATGAATGAATGAAGTCAACATTCCAACATCAGTTTGTGACAGCAGCGTAGACAGGACTGAGCCATGGAGGGATGGTGGGGATAGGCTGAGCAACGAATGGTCAACTTGCAGAGCATGGCTGCGTTATGTTAGTATGTTCATGGAAAGGGTCCACGTCAGATGAACACAGGGGCTGATGAAGCAGATATTTCAGGTGTAAGCCTTTGAGTTAGCACCAAGATGCAGTAATATGTTCTATTTTTTCTAACTTTTTTCTTTCGCACCATGTCCGCTACTTCCTTAGTGTTGCCAAAAGTACAGAAAGCATAAGGGGGAGTAATTTCCCCAGCATGCCATTTATTAAAGTATAAGCTCTGAGGATTTGTGTCTTTGGATGAAAATACAAGTTTGTTTATATCAAAACTGTGCAGTCTAAGGCTGTATTGTGATACATTGTGCAGTTCTATATTGAGCAGTGCTACATCAATGTCACATTTCAAAAAATGACAGTTGGGGCAGATTTGCTTGTAAACAGCGATGGAACGCTCACCCTATCCCCCATTGTTATGACATGAGGACTCCAAAGCATCCTGATTTCTTCAGAACAGTCCCTATTTTAGGGTCTTGTCCCACAGCCCTATGTTCCCTGGAGGTGTCCCACTTTTTGGGTAACAACGAAACTGTCCTAGGAAAGAGTAGAGGGAGCGCATCATTAGACACATCTCAAGTTATACCAATAAGTGGAGCGCTCCAACACAAATACGGCTTACCGAATGATATTTCATTCAATGGCGGAGTATAAGGTCACACCATCACAGCTGACTGAGGAAGCTCCACAGAAGGAGAGAAATGCGTATTGGCTATTTGAAAGAGGACTTTTAAGAGGACTTTTTAATTACTATTGTTTTTATTTATTTTATTCCTAATAAATTCATAACTTTTATATAAGATTTCTTCTACGTCCCTCTTTTGGAAACCTCAAGAGAATCTTCCCAGGGCAGTGTCATCCCCATTTAAATTGGCACAAAACCCATACAACTAGAGCCAGGACCCACAGGCTCAGGACCAGGTGAGCACACCATTTATCTCCACTATACTGTGTTCTTTATCAAGCACGTTCTACACATTGGTTTGCTCTCTCTATTGTTTTGTTTTGGAGAACTACACCACACCGAAGGAGATGGGCAGTGCTACCCTTATAAGCACATCGGCCAACATACGGAGCCAGTGTTTTCATATACAGGCTCCTAGAAATGTGAGTGTTCAATTTACCCAATACCATCATAACTATTACATTATTAGTTTCCATACCGTCTACACTATATTGTATTCCTTGTATTTCTTTCAAACATGTACCTTATACTCCGCCATTGAATGAAATATCATTCGGTAAGCCATATTTGTGTTGGAGCGCTCCACTTATTGGTATAAGTTTGTTTATAGCTTAAACCACACCAATAATTTTAACTTTATCTTGTGGAATAGAGGATATTTTCACATAAGTGTATTGAGCAGCCTGTAAATCACCTTATTTGTTTTAAAGAACCGTATTATACACACCCCTCTGTAAAAGGAGGTAACCTTTGATTGGTATTCACATCTCAAGTTATGCTAAGGGCACTAGGACCCTCAGTGGGCTGGCCTGGGTAATTGAAAGGCAATTACATGATTTTGGTATTTCATGACAAAAAGTCATGATTTTATGAAAGACACGGAGGCGAGTATTGCTTAACCCTTTCTTTACTGTGCACCAATAGCAGCAAAGAATACAACAGTAAGAAAAAATGGTAACCATAGTGATAGGCCACACCCATACCAAGTCCCAGTATAATAGTCAGCACATCCCTACACATTTCCTCTTTCTTTGGAGATGCGACACAACCACAAAACAGGAACGATGAAACAGTCCAAACCAAACAGAACAGGCGACCCGAAATCCAGCCAACTCCGATCAGGAACCATAACGAAACTGGGACCAATCCATCAGTAAACAAGATTCCAACAGTGAGGGGCCCATCACAGCATTGTCCATAAACTTCCTGGCCACTTGGTGAAGCCGAGAGAGAAGTGCAGAAGACCCTCGATCAACATCGAATCAACCTGTGAAAACACAAAAGACAGGAGCCGAACGGTTAAATCGGTACTTGAACCAAAGTGCGCATGAAGACATAATTTTATAACTAGACAGAAGCAACACAGGGTGCATAATTCAACATGGGCATTTCGGATAATCATGTAACATGAACAGGTTAATAAACGTCTGAAACTATACAAAACCCAGAGAGCAGAATGAATACCTACCAACCCTGGAAAACCTTTAGGAGAGAATAAACAACCGGGTGGGGTAAATCAGTGAAATAACAATGAAGGGTGGGACAATACTCACCTCAAATTATGTAATTTTATGTCAAGACACAGAGGCTCATATTGCAAGTTTAAAGCTGATCAATAACCGGAGAAAAAACGTGAGGCAGAGGTCAAAAGTAAAACTCATGAAAAGTGGATTGCGGGACCAGTCAGCCAGCCTCATCAGGTCTTCCAGACGTACACCTGAATTCACCATGAATGTGGCCGATGCCCCTCAGGCTGAGTGGGCACCGAAGATGGACGTATCTACGCCGGCCAGAGACATCACACATTTTACCCAGTGAGCCAATGTAGTACTGGACACAGGGGAAAAGAGGCGACGAAGCGAGAGAAAGAGCTGGGGAGACGACGTTGCACGATGTGCGCTTGTCCGAAGTTCATATTACCGTAAGCAGGCCACTGGACATAGGGCCGGAGTACCAGGGAAGCTCGGATAAGAAACCGATCGAATAGCAGTCTTGGTGCGTCTGGAGATGTTAAACGTTACCCCGTCCGAAGTGAAAGACCTAGCATCATAGTCCAGGGCACGAACATCCGATACCCGTTTGCATGAAATGAGAAAGAACAGGGAGACCAACTTGGCCGACAGCTGTCATAAGGAGAGCTCCGCATTAGGCGGCCAGGAGGAGAACAGCGACAAAACGCAGGAAACGTCCCATGTAGTTGAGTAACGAGGTCTAGGGGGGCGCGACAGGCGTGAGCACCTAAGTAAGTGGCACACTAACGGATGTTGCCTGCTGGGTAGCTATCAAATCCTTGGTGAGCTGTACGAATTAATCGTGCGATATGCCTGACCCGCTTCAAATAACGAAGTCAGAAATAGGAGGATCACAGTCACAGGTGCTGATATGGGATCCAAGTTCCGAGCCGCGCACCAACCAGTCCAAGCTCTCCAATCGGTCCCATATGCTTGTCTAGTCCCAGGAGCCCATGCGTCAGCCAGGAGGCGTTGAGTTGTGTCCGAAACCCCTTGGATTTTCCAGGGACTCCCAAAATCCTCCACACGAGCAGCAGTAATGACCCATCCGCTAGGAGGGGATGCTGGAGGCCCGACGGGTCCAGGAGGAGGTTTCGGTAGAGGCAGCAGCAGTCTGGACATGTCTACCACCAGTTCCAGGAGTTGTGGGAACCAGGATTGGGTCCCCCAGAATGGGGTTACTAGGATCAGGTCGGCCATTTGGCGGCAAACTTGGAGCAGGACCCGAGGGATCATGGCAAATGGGGGGAAGGCGTACAGGAGTGAGCCGGTCCAGTCTTGTAGGAAGGCGTCCACTGCCTCAGTGGTTGGATCCGGGCGCCAGCTGTAGAACCGGAGCAATTGGGTATTGAGCCTGGACGTGAAGAGGTCGATGGCAAAAGGACCCAATATGGACGATATAGCGGAGAAGACTCCCACATCCAATTTCCAATCGCTGTTGACCGACAGATAGCGTGAACTCCAGTCCGCGTGAGCGTTGTGGAGCCTGGGAAGGTATTCTGCCTGGACCACCAGGTTCCTGTCCAAGCAATATGCCCAGAAGTCCTTCGCCAAGCAGGCCAGGATTGCAGATTGAGTGCAACCCATGTGGTTGACATAGCGGACCGCTGAGATGTTGTCCATGCGCAGGCGGATACATGAGCTGGCAGTCCCATTTGCAAAACTCCGGATCGCGAATGAACTCGCCAGGAGTTCCAGAGCATTGATGTGGAGGTGGGATTCGTCTGTCGACCAGTGACCCCCTGGTAGTCACCCCGTTGCAATGGGCACCCCAGCCGTGGAGACTGGCGTCTGAGTTCACCGTGAATTCTGGTTGTGAGCCGAAGATGGCCTTGCCATTCCAAGCCGAGAGGTTGTGGATCCACCAGGTCAATTCGTCCCTAGTCTCCGAGTCCAGGGAGATCATGTCCGCATAGGACGCCCCGCCGCGAAGGTGTGCGATCTTCAGGTGCTGGAGGGCACGGTAGTGGAGTGGGGCTGGGAACACTTCTTGGATTGATGCTGCCAGAAGGCCAGTGATCCATGCCAGGTGGCGTAGAGATAGCTGGGTGCGCGTTAGAGCGCGGCGCAGTTCCTTGCGGATTGTCCGTCTCTTGGATCTAATCTACCGTGAAGCCTATGACCGTGAAGCCTATGAACTCCATTCGTTGCAAAGGAGATAGGCATGATTTTTTCCCAGTTGAGGAGAAAACCAAGGTGGGAGAGGAGGTCCATCGTCCATTGAAGATGTTTCCAAAGGACTGAACGATCCTGTGCCATGATGAGGATGTCGTCCAAGTAGACGATTAGCTGGACTCCCCGACTGTGCAGCCAAGCCATGGCGGGGCGCATCAGTTTCGTGAAGCACCAAGGGGCTGACGACAGTCCGAAGGGGAGGCACGTGGAGCGCCAGGTTTCCAGAGGAAACGTAACAGGTCCCTGGATGACTCGGCCACTGGGACCGTCAGGTAGGCATCCTTCAAAACCAACTTTGCCATCCAAAGTAAGTCTCGCAGGAGGTGGATGCTCTCCATTTTGAAGTGACGATAGCGCACCAGGGTGTTTAGGGCACGGAGGTTGATAACTGGGCGCATTTGTCCGTCTTTCTTTTCCACTAGGAAAATATTGCTGATCACCCCTGTGAAGGACACCGAGGCTAGCTCTATCGCCCCTTTTCCGTGGAGGGCTGTTAGTTCCTTGTCTATCAAGGCGCGGTCGGTTGTTGAAAGCAAAATAGGGCGAGGTGGGGGAACGTGACACGGAGTGTCGACCAGTTCGATGTGAAACCCCCAAACTGTGGTCAGAACCCAGACATCTGAACTGATGGCTGACCAGGTGTGGAAAAAATTACGGAGTCTGCCACCTACACACATATTGGAAGAAACACGAGGTAGATGTAAGCTTACTGTAGGGGTGTCTGAAACCGGGGTTCCCTCTGAAGCCTCTGGAATGCCATGGTCTTTCACGAGAGGGGAAGAAAGGAGACTGTTGTCTTGTCTCCTGGTAGGGTGTTCTCTGAGTGTAGGAGCCTGTCAGGATACTGACAGGGATCCAACACGCAGAGTGCGGACAGAAGGAGGTACGTATACCGGACCTTAGAATGGCCGGACTAACGTAGGGACAGAGCGAGAATAGTCAAAAGGTAAGCCGAGGTCGAGGGAGCCGGAGGACAGGTAAGCGAGATACAAGCCGAGTCAAAGGAGAGGAGAGGACAACAGGACAAAAGACAAGCAAGGGTCAAAACCGGAAACACAAGATAAAGAACGCGCTGAGTGACTAGCAAGCTAGAACCACGACAGGGCAATGAGCAGTAGTAAAGGTTTCCTTTAAATACCCTGTTACCAAAATAGAGACCACGCCCCCAAAAGGTCCGGAATAGCGGTTCCCGGCACTCATGTAAATGCCGACGTCATGACGTCGACGCTAGCCGTCGCGTCATAAAAGGGGGAGGAGCTAGCGCGGCCGGCGCGAAAACGGCCGGAATATGCCGAAATGCTAGGGGCAGGGAGCCCCTAAACAGAGAGGATGTCTTCCCTGGATTCAGCACCAACAGGTACCCTGACAGTACCCCCCCTTCTAGAAACGCCCACCGGGCGGATGGGACCGGGCTTAGAAGGAAAACGAACGTGGAAGGCCCGAAGAAGACGAGGAGCATGCACGTCTATACCAGGAACCCAAGACCTCTCTTCTGGACCATAACCTTTCCAGTCTATGAGGTATTGCAGCTTCCCCCTAGAAATACGAGAATCAAGGATGGACTTGATGATATATTCCTCCTGACCATCCACACGGACCGAGGATGGAGGAGCAGAGCGGGAGGAAAATCTGTTACAAACAAGAGGTTTCAATAAAGACACATGAAAAGAGTTAGGGATGCGTAGAGTAGGAGGTAGATCCAGCAAATAAGAAACCGGGTTGATCCTCCTCAGCACCCTGTAAGGACCAATGTAACGAGGAGCAAATTTCAAGGAAGGAACTTTCAGGCGAATGTGTCTGGTACACAACCAGACCCTATCACCCGGAGAAAAAATAGGAGCAGGCCGCCTACGCCTATCAGCATGTGACTTAAACACCGCGGAACTACGTTCAAGAATTTGTCGAGTCTGATCCCACAACTTTCTCAGGTTGGCTATATGAATATCAACCGACGGTATACCCTGGGAAGGAGACACCGACGGAAGAACAGTAGGGTTAAAGCCATAGTTCAAGAAAAAGGGGCTATTATGAGTGGAACCACAAACAAGGTTGTTGTGAGCAAACTCCGCCCAAGGAATCAGACCGACCCAGTCATCCTGGTGTTCAGAAACAAAACAACGTAGATATTGCTCAATTTTTTGGTTAGTGCGTTCGGCTGCTCCGTTAGATTGAGGATGATAGGCCGAAGAAAAATTCAGTTTGATGCCCAACTGGGAACAGAAGGATCTCCAAAAACGGGAAATAAATTGGGAACCCCTGTCTGACACAATCTCATTGGGAATACCATGTAAACGGAAAATTTCTCTAGCAAATATCACGGCCAGTTCAGGAGAGGACGGAAGTTTAGGCAAGGGAATGAAATTTTAGTAAACCTGTCAAGGACCGTGAGGATAACCGTATGCCTACTGGAAGCTGGTAGATCAACAATAAAATCCATAGCCAAACAAGCCCAAGGTTTGTTGGGAACGACTAAGGGCTGCAATAAACCACAAGGGAGATCCCGCGGAAGTTTATTCCTGACACAAACATTGCAAGCCTTGACAAAGTCTTCCACATCCCTACGTAAACCAGGCCACCAGAAGTCTTTGGAGATCAGGCAGTAAGTTTTGTGGATGCCGGGGTGACCAGCGAACTTGCTATCGTGAAAACAGCGAATAATGTCCACTTGGAATTTGGGAGGCACGAACAAGCGGCCCACAGGAGTACGTTCGGGAGCAAGAGATTGTTCGTTCATAATATCAGCGAGCAATGGAGAGTGTATTTTGACATTGGTGTTGGCAATAATATTGACTTCAGGAATAATAGGGAACAAAGTGTCCTCTGTAGAGGTGATAGGTTCGTGCTGACGTGACAAAGCGTCTGCCTTAGTGTTCTTAGAACCAGGCCTGTAAGTAAGCATATAATTAAAGTGTGTAAGGAACATAGACCAACGTGCCTGCCTGGCAGATAATCTTTTGGCCTCCCCCATATACGATAAATTTTTGTGGTCAGTCAAGATAGTAACTGGGAGGACAGTGCCCTCTAACAAATGTCTCCATTCCTTTAATGCCATAATGATAGCTAAAAGTTCTCTATCACCAATGTCATATCTCCTTTCAGTGTGTGATAGTTTCTTGAAAAAAAAACCGCAAGGGTGCAGCGGCTTATCTAAACTTTGTCTTTGGGACAACACTGCGCCTATCCCTGTTTCAGACGCATCAACTTCAAGTAAAAAGGGTAGAGAGGTATCAGGATGAACTAATACAGGTGCTGAGGCAAAAGACTGTTTGAGCGTTTCGAAGGCAGATAAAGCCTCAGTAGACCAGGTTTTGGTATCGGCTCCTTGTTTGGTCATATTAGTGATAGGAGTGATAACAGAGGAGTACCCTTTAATAAAACGTCTGTAATAATTAGAAAATCCAAGAAATCTTTGTATGGCTTTGAGTCCCTTAGGTAAAGGCCAATCTAAAATCGATTTTAGTTTGGTCGGGTCCATCATAAACCCGTCTTTGGAAATTACGTAACCTAAGAAAGTTACCTGAGACTGGTCAAAGCTACATTTTTCCAATTTACAATACAATCCATGTTGTAAAAGTTTCTGTAATACCTTTCTGACTTGTCTATGATGTGAATTAATGTCTCTAGAATGGATTAGTATGTCATCCAAATATACAATTACACATTCATGTTGGAATTCTCTAAGAACTTCATTGATCAAGTCTTGGAAGACGGCCGGGGCGTTACAAAGCCCAAACGGCATTACGGTATACTCATAATGCCCATAACGGGTATTAAATGCTGTCATCCATTCATCTCCTTGTTTAATTCGCACCAAGTTATATGCTCCTCTCAAGTCAAGTTTGGTAAAAATACTCGAGCCCTTTAGTCTGTCAAAGAGTTCAGTAATCAAAGGAATAGGGTAAGCATTCCTGATAGTAATTTTGTTCAATCCCCGATAGTCTATACAAGGACGTAAGGTACCGTCTT